AAGGGCCTGTTTTTGCGAAAAATGGGCCGTTTTGGGGAGGTCTGCAGAGTGTAAAAATGCTGTATTCAGTGTACAAGATGCACCCAGATTTTCAGCCTATTTTTTGAGGGAAAAAGGTGCATCTTATAAAATATGGTAACTAATCTTACATAGTACTTTGCAGTCATATGAAATTAATATTCACCAGCCAACCTCAAAAATAATTTTGGCCAGGAGACAATTTCTGCTACTCAGAATCTTTCTACAGCCTAAAATCTGGAAAGCAGTTAAAATTCAGTACAGAAAGCAGAGTTATATGTATCATTAAATTAAAGCTTTCTGATTAAGTATCGCTAATCTAAATGTAATATCATATATTGCCATTAACATTTTTCCCAGGGAAACAGATATTTCTTGAAAGATAGACACAGCATGTCCAATTGTTAGAATGGATGAGTTCCCCCTTATTTCTCCAATTTCTATAAGATGTTTCTAAAACAAAGATAATTCTTAAAAGAATACTCACTTATCTATAGTTTTATATATGAACTCAGAAAGATATGCAGCAACAAGAACCAGCTGTTCTCTGATGTTTTCCAATATCTGTTGTTCAACATGCAATCTTACAGTATCAGTTGTAAAAGTTAAGTTAGTGTAATTATTTTTTGATGGAAATTGGTTATATCTTTTTAGTAGTTTTTCTTGATTCTTCAGATCTTCTAGCATTTGTTGCAATTCCTTGAATCTCACAGAGTTATGCAAATATTGTAATGTGGACTCAGTCTATTGGAATAAAAAATACAGTAATTTGTATTATATCAACTAATGCATATGCATAATATTCATAAACAGAGGGAACTTATCAGTGTTATTAATTTTTGATTGACAAAAATATTATTTGAAATATACCTCAACATCCGAGTATCCTCAGATTTTTTAAAATTGCATTAATCCTTCTGCAGTCTTATACAGAGAAACCACAGAACCTTTTGGGGTACAAGAGGCACTTTGTGGTAGTTGTGCTAAGAGAATTAAGGACTGAGTATGCCAAGCTGGTATTATATCACAGGGACAACCAGAATATGATGAATAGATTGCTGAGGCTGCAAAATGTGGTATCTATCACTCTGAATGATAATTCAAAAAAGATTTCAAAGGCTACAAGGTATTGGGCAAAAAAAATGGGAATATAAATATTTTTTGGTAATCTTTCCACTTACCATAAAACCCTTTCACGTGTTGTAAGAGGAACAGGACTCTAGAAGTCAACAATTAGCTATATAGATTGTGCTGCTATCTTTGAGTTACTTGATCATGGCTCTTTTACACAAAGAACTCTTTAAAAAAGATGGGAAGTATGTGCTCAGCAGGTATCACACCATTCTCATCAAGAAAGCATTGAATTGAAGAAAAGGGTGAAGGACAGTGAAAGCCCAGAATTGAATGTATCAGTAAGGACTGAGACCAACTGTCAGGTGCAAAAGATCAGGTCCACACTTGACGGGCCAATTAAACTGATTTATTGCTACTCGTGTTTACGCATAGGAATATTCTCAACTGATATTTAAGACATGCTTGGATTTAGATATTGGTAAATAGAATTCAAGGAAGGTTGGACTTAGTTCACTTGTGATTACCTGGCGATTTTAGGCTGATCCCTTTTTTAACTGCACCCCCAGGTTCTGCCACTACTTACACCAACAATGCAGGAGACAACAGAAAATCAAAGGAGTAGTAGGTTACGTAGAGATTGAAAGAAATTATAGAAGTGGAATCAATAGGAGTCATTATTTTAAACATGATATTATAGTGAGTTTATTCGATTACTTTAGACAGGAATAATAAATGGAAGAAATCCAGATGGGAAGAGCCGAAGTCGCGACGACACGATGTNATCAACCATTGTTTACTGTGGTTTGGTCACCCATGGGTAAGATTCAAATAGCTGCATTTCTAATACAATACAACTAATAAAACTAAGGAGAAATTCCCTGACAGTCAGAACAATTAACCAGTATAATGGCTTGCCTTCAGAAGTTGTGGGTGCTCCATCACAGGAGGCTTTTAAGAAGAAACTGGACAGTCATTTGTCTGAAATGAAACAGGGTCTCCTACTTGAGGAGGGAATTGGACTAGAAGATCTCTAAGGTCCCTTCCAACTCTATTATTCTGTTCTGTTTTGTTATTCTGTTCTGTTATTCTTACAAGGCAGCTTCCCCACACCACAGAGCACATGTCTGAAGATACATAGGTTCCAGAGACAGTGGTTCTCAGTCAACTGAGGTTGCCAGGCTGACATTGGCTCACCACCATCTCTGCTTGCAAAATAGCTGCCAAACTATACTACAGAAAGGGAAGAGGACATGAAACCTCATTTATCCCACTTCCTTAGGGCTTGCAAATGCCCCTCCCGGCCTCCATTTTTGCAAGCAAAGTGCTTCAGGAGGCCTTTGCTGGTGAAAATGGAGGTTCGGCAGGATGCATGCACCCCTCCTGGCCTCCACTCTCACTGGCAAAGGCTTTTTGCAAAATCAACTAGGAACACAGTCTTTCTTCCCTGTAGGCCTCGGCAAGCCTTTACTCAAGGCAAAACCATAGCAAAGAGGCTGCACAGGAGACAGCTCCATTGATCATCAAGATCTACTAAGGTAAGTGACCCGGTCAGGCAGGATGGGTGGAGGGAGGAAGCATGAGATATCTCAGTGGGGCAGGAGATATCCCAATGGGACCTTGGGTAGTTAGAAGTACCAGCTCCCGCCATGGCCTTCCCCTGAGCCTTCCCATACCCTGAGATACCTTGTGCACTTTCGCCCATGTGGGCGAAAGCATGGAGTGATCACCTTTAAGTTACATGATTCATTCTTACGAATCCTAGGGGTTACAAATGTAATTGGCAGACTCCATTACATTCATAACTCGAGAACTACCTGTATATAGGAATAAAAAAGAAAGATAAGACTTAAGAGAATCCTAGTGACCCTGGTTGCAGAGTTCTTTGGAAGAAGTCCCTTTTGCAGACAAACTGGCTACAACTCCCATGCCTAAACTTTGCCTATGATCCCGCTCTCCAGGAGACTGCAAACTTCTTGTTTAAAAATCCTTGTGGAAGAAAAGAGACAGATTTCATAATATAGCAATGAATTAACAAAAATGTAAGGCGGAATCCATTTGAAAATCTTTACCTGTATTTAATTACTTCATTTTGGTTTTTTTGTAAAGAGTTTTCTAATCTCTCATTTGTTTGTTTGCTCTCACAAAGATCTGATTTCAAATTCAATATTGCAGTATGTTCCTGTTTCAGCAATTCGTGCATTTCAGAAGCTTTCTCTTGTTCATGTTTTAGGGAAGCCTGTAAGTCATTTGCAATGGATTGTTGTTGCTGAAGTTTGTATTCCAGAAGTTCAACTGAGAATAAATTTAAACATTGCAAAATGTAAATACATAAATCTATTTCTAAGCTTTGTATATTTTCCCCAAATATATTTTCCCAATATAGTCTCTTTACCATTTTTTAAAATAAAGTTTCAATTTAGATGGAAGGCCAATAAGGATAATACAATAGTCCTCACCACACTTCATTTAGTGACCATTTAAAGTTAAAGTGACACTGAAAAAAGTAACTTATGACATTTTTTCACACTTACAACCATTGCAGCATTCCCTTAGTCACGTGATCAAAATTCAGACACTAACCGAACTCATTTTGATTGTTGCAATATCCTGGATCATGTGATCACATTTTGCAACCTACTGACAAGTGAAGTTAATGGAGACACCAGATTCACTTAATAATTGTGTTACTAACTTAACAA